TTAAGGAAAAAAAAAAAACAAAAAAAAAAGTAGTAGTAGTAGAGTAGAGTTTTGCTTTTAATATTACCCATTCACTCATTTCATGCGTATCTGGATTTCTATGATGATAATTGAGGATAAGTATGGTTGACACAACTGATGAAGCCACCATAAACATAATGCAATTGAAATAAGTTCCTAGAAGGACACAAAAATTAACACAAATATTGTACATACTATTCAGTTTGTTTATTCTTTCTTTTGAAATCTTTTTTTTTCACTCAGTATTTTTTCTCTCTAATTTTTCTTTTTTGTGTTATTCTTCTTACTATAGCAACATGTACAGCTTTTCGTTAATTCATTCTTTCTTTGCAATTAATTTGATTGTGTATAATTTTTTTTTTGTAACATGAATAACACGTTTCTCAGCTCAAGTACCCATTAGAGACTGCGTGCACGGTTTTCGTCGTTATAAGCTTCGAAATTATCAAATCGGCAAGAAAGGCTTGAAAGTTCCCACATACCTTTTGTTAGACTATCAGTTCATAGTACTCTAGGATAATTTGCAAAAATTATTTTTCATTTGGATCGTTCGCATTGTTTGCAAGGCGAAAATTTTAAAAGTGAGCCTTGAACCATTTCCGTAATGACCGAAACAAACTAAATCGTTAAGTTTGGAAAACCAAATCCATAATACATTAATATCTGAGACGCCTCTTCCCAGGGGTTTTCTAATGGGCTTACATTCTAACGTTCGTTTTTTTTTTTTTTAGACAAGCAAGTGACGATTAAACCTATTGTAGGTTTACTATTTGTTTCTTTTTTTTTTAGAAAACCTAAGAATAGGCAATGTCTGCCTGATATGCACGTATGTCTGCCTGCCTGCCCCTAAATCCCTTATAAAATAAATGATACAAAAAAAAAAAAACAAGAAAAATGCAAAACGATGCCATGTATGTCCTCGGCCAAGTTAGCCAATTTAAGGCTAATGCGCCAATACACACACACGTCCGTAAAAATCGATTCTCAAAAATAGTCGAAAAGCTACGCCGTAACATCTTGTGATCAACAAAATATTGTAACTTGACAGATATTGACATTTAAAATATCACGCAAATGCTTCTAACAATCACGCCAAACATGCCTGCATCGGCCTATTAATGCGTTTAAATTTTAGAAAAAACGGCACGGGTTTTTAATGTTTTTATGCGATGATTGATAATTAAAGTATACTTTCAGGCGAGTATAGACTTCTTACAGCACTATTCCTTGACTTGTGAGTGCATACTGTCATGCCCGGTTTTTTTGTTTTACCAGTTCTGTATACATTTTTAATTCGAGTTAATAGTTTATTTTTGCTTTAATTGACTTGCACACTAATTTTACATATTATTGGTTAGACTGTCTCGGAACTGCTTATAATAATTGTTTTTCGGTTGCATGTTTCCATGAGAATTTTATAAGCGAGTTCACTGGGCTTTCGGTAATGTCATCGCCTTAACAGGCAGGGGTATGTGTAAGTTAAAGAAATTTCAAGGTCTAAAGCGAAGTATATGGGGGCTGCGTTATCAAGTAAGAAGAGCGGTAGCGAAGTTCGCATATTCTTTGATTTTATGCGCATAAAAGGCATTACGGTTTGAATTTTTTCAAACGAACACATTTTTTCTGATTCTTCACATAGAGGGTTTTCTGGTTGAAAACTTGAGAAATATTATCGGTTAAATATGCAATTTTTTGCACTGGTGTATCGGAGATAACGGAAACGGATTGCCTTGTGATGGCTTAGTTAAGCGTTGAATGTGCGATGTTAAGATGCGATTAATTAAAGTATTTTTTCTTTGCTCTTAATGATACCCGGTATTGCTTCGACAAGAATTTTAAGTAATTTTGCGAACTTTTGGTTTTTTATTTAATTTATTTATTTATCTTTTTGACTTCATAGATCATGCTCAGCTTTCAATTTGAAATGTTCCATGTCAACTTTTCGATTCTTTTCATCTTACAAAGAGAAAACAAAACATAAGCAAGTGAACACATCAACGCCTACGACTACAAACACTCACAATATTGGATCCATAAAGTGTTTTTTATACCTTGTCTCTAATATCAATTAATCTGGGTATCGCTAGCCTCTCTAATACATTTATCTCTCTAATGATATATCTAAAATGGAAATACCGAAATTTTTTGTAGCCCTTGATAATGGATATAAAAATTTCTAGAATAGATTTATTATCTATTCGGGTTGTTTTATGTGAAAGATTTTTTGCTCGGCGTAATAAGATAAAGTGTACACAATCAAATTTTACGTTTGTTTAAAAGAAAGTTTATAAAAAGGTTTTAATTAAATTATTTTGAAAAATATATAGGTTTTGTATAATACATTAGTGTATATATTCTAAGAAAAAAGTTTGTGTATTTCAGCCTTATAGTCTTATAGTAAAAAATGGTAAAAAAGCGATCTTAAAGCTATCAAAATATTTATATTACATTGAATCGAATATTTGTGAAAACATCATATCATACTTAAGTAAAGGAAACAAAGAACATAAGATTTTATATTAAAAATTAGAATGAGAGAGACAAAGGGACAAAGATATAAAAGAAACCCTATATATTTTTTTTTTTTTTATTTATTTATATTATATATATATATATATATATATACATATATATATGATATATATATGTGTATAAATATGAATGTATTTATATATATATAGAACGAGAAAAACTTAAGGCTCAATTTAAACTTAGCAAATTATAAATTAAAGTGAAAATCTATAATTTCGCTGCCTTTTTAATTTGAACCTCGCGCTTTTCGATAACAAGACAATAAAAAAAAAAATCATTTTCCCTTTCATTTATTCTTTGTTCGTTTTTTAGTTGCAAATTAATAATTATTCCCTTTTGATTTTTTTCGAACTTTGAGATAAAAGTTGAAAAGTTTTGTGCCCAACCAATTATCCGCAATCATCATAATTCATATGAAAAATCGAGATCGAATTTTATCCAAATTTTTTCTGGTTGCACCACCGGTTTTTGTAAGAAGTCTTAAAGATTACGGTTAACAGAGAGTGAGTGAGAGAAAAAGAGAAGGAGTAAGAGAGAGAGAGAGAGAGAGAGAGAGAGAGAGAGAGAGAGAGAGAGA